TAGGGGTGGAGGGCAGTTAACCTCTGAGCTCTGAAACCAGGGCTCTGCAATTACTGCAGCGTGGGGGGTTGTGGTTATTCATACCACACTTTGGTTCTTCCTCTGGTTCAACGTGTAACTTTCTTTCAGGATCTTCTAGCACCTCCCCACAGACAACAACACTCCAAGGTTCACCCAGGGTCAGTATCCAGCAGCTCACACTTCACCCCTGCCTACACTTACCTGATGGCACAGGATGGTCTGATGCACCAGCCGAGCATAGCCGTCTAGGCGGACCCCAGAATTACTCCTGCTCCTCATCGCGCCACGTTCCTAATCCCCCAATCCACACAGGGGAAGCTTGGGCACCAGGCCTGCAGAAACCTTTGAAGTGCCAATGGTTTCCTCACGCTGCTTCACTCCAGCGGCTGAGTCCGCTTCAGGCGATGGCTTGGCTTCCTGTGGTCTAGGCTTCGTTCCGCAACACTCCAGTCTCCACTCGGTCTCCCGTGACCTCCGGGTGCCGAGCCCGCATCCTGTGCTCCACTGGGAGACCACAGAGGCCTGGAGCCTCCAGGGTGGCTACTGTAGCCGGTCAGCGGCCGCTGCACCGCCTCCCCTCGCGAGCGTGCGGGGGGCGGGGCGTGGGTCCTGCAGCTGCGCGGTGAGTCCACCGGCCGGCAGCTCGCCGCCCTCTGCCCAGAATGTGTCACCGTAAGCAATGTGTTCTCCTGGGGTTATTTTCGAAACAGTACAAGTGACTATGTTAATTTTGCACGCCTGTTGTGCGCACAGGCTGTCGCTCTCACTTCTGAGGAACCCACGGGAACTCCAAAACGGAAAGGAAAGAGGCGTTTGCACTCAAGGGCTGAGCGATTCGATTTCCGGATCTTTATTTGACTAAAACGTCGGATTAAACTCTGAAACTAAACAAAAGAGAGCTCCCTGGGCTTTTTGCCTACTTAGAGACGGGCGAGTCCGCGGCGGAGGAAGAAAGAAGCAGTTAGGGATCTTTGAGGAAGCAAGGGTTGCTGGTGGGGAGCAGGGCAAGGAGCAAGCAGTGACTGAGGGTGGCCTTGGTGGGACAGCTGGCAGTTGATTCTCTGCTTTGGAAGGCTTCCCCGTAGTGTAGTGGGTAGGTGACTCTGCCAATGCATCAAAGATTTAGCTGAAATAAAGCAGGAGATGAGTGTTAGGGAAGAAGGCTGCAAAGGACACTGTGACAGGCTTAGGGAATCTGCCTCCTGAGAGCAGTCCCCAGGGACTTTGCCTCCTGCTTTTCTGTCTCCACCCCCACCTTTTGCTCTTTGCTGTTCCAAACCCTGCACCCCAGTCAGGGCTCAGCTAGAGTACCACCTGCTTTCTGAATCGCGGGGTAAGAGAATTAGACTGTCGCTTGACCTTTCCAGTTCTAAATCTAAGCCTTCTCTGGCCACCTCACTCTGGCCACAGTGATTTTGCATTTTCGTTCATCTTTTTTTTCCCCTCTTTAGTCTCTTCTCTCTTTACAAGCTGCCTCTGGGTAACGCCCCCGCCACAGCCTCTTCCTCACTAAGTACAGAAAATAGTCAGGCACCTTGGAAGGCGACTAGTGAATATTTCCTAATGATGATGAAGGGGAGTGCTCAAGAATGCTGAGCAGGGATTTTCAGCTTAAATAGCAGTCAATGATGCAGTTCAATACAGTGACACAGATTTCTCTGCAAATAGTTTCCATTGCAGTCACTGCCTACGCAAATGCAATGACTGGCAAATAAGCCACTTCAAGTCCTTAGTGCACAGGGAAAGGGAGTTCAATTTGGAGAGAGAATCCCCCTGCTCAGACCTCTAACTCCTTGATGTCTTGCCCTCACTCAGACTGTAGCTTCTACCCTTGTCCCCTTCAAGTATCTGTCCTCCGGATTTTCTTCGTCTCTCTTACGTAAACACATTGTCAGACATTAAAATAATATATGATCACTAAAGAAAACTTGCAAAATACGAAAAAGTGAAATAAAATATTGAAATCACCCATAATTCCCCACACCACCACCTGTTGATACTAAAATGCATTTTCTACTCTTTATATTTCTTCTGTGTGGACCTCCCTTCACCTCATGATATCATAACTGGATTAGGAATGGCAGAAGTGAGGTATCACTAAGAATGATAGCTAACTGGCTATCAAAAGATCCTGCTAGCAGGCTGGCATTGCCTTGGTGCTTCTTTCATAGTCAGTCCAATTTAGATTTTCAGTCTTGTGGTCTTAGAAACTTGATCTGCTCCGTGTCCCAGAACTGGTAAGACACAGGAGGCTGACTCATGCTGATTACCTCACAAGAGCTTGGGTGCAGGAGAACCAGGATGCTGTCTGTAACATAGATTATAGAAACCTAACCACTACATTTTCTCCCTTTAATGAGTTGTAATCCTTATTAATATACCTTAAATAGTTGCCCTGTTAGATAGATTCTCTCCTGATTAGTAGACATTTATTGTACAAAATAGTTTGTTTCATCAAAACGTATTCATAATTAAACCTTAGAGGTGCAGAAATGAAGGCACATGAAAATTAAATACTTGGCAGTGTAATCTTCTATGTTGGTTTCATATATATGTTTCATATGTTTCCAGGTCTCACTAATACATTTTTTATATCACTAACACATTTTAGGCAGATCAAAATTATAAATCAAATTATAGAGGTCAGTCGGGAGTCACTGCTTCTTGTAAAAATTATTGACACATATTTATGGAGTACCATTTGATGTTTTGATGCATACACGTGTTGTATAATGTTTAAATTAATATGTATGTAAACTCTTCATAAGAGCTGCAATGTCACAAATAAGGTTAAATTAAGTTTCCTATGTTTAATATTTTCTACCAGGGTCTTCTTCATCCCCTTCCTGAAAGCAGACACCATTATTGGATTGACTTGTATCCTTCCAAGTTGATTCCGAAGGATTTACACATATATTTGGAGATATCCATATAAAAATGTACTATCGCTTTATCTGTATTTTTAAATTGTCAATTATTTATTTTGCATGCATGTATGTGGTGTAGGTGTATATGCACATCTGTGCAAGTCCCTGTGTGTGTGTGTATGTGTGTGTGTGTGTGTGTGTGGGAGAGAGAGAGAGAGAGAGAGAGAGAGAGAGAGAGAGAGAGAGAGAGAGGAAGGGGGCGGGAAAGACAGAGAGAGAGAGAGAGAGTTAACCAGCAGAGGTTGAAGTTAGATGTCCTTTTCTATCACTTGACACTTTGTGTTTTAATAGCAGCCTCTCACTAAAGCTTGAGCTCACTATTTTAGATGTCCAACAAGTATCTACCTGTCTCCTTCCCCCAAGTGCTAGGGCTACAATTGAGCACCAAGCTTGCACATGGGTACAGGAATCTGAATCTCTGAGCCATCTCCTCAGACTTCCCTTTTTCTTCTTTTTTCTTTTATAAAGAAAGGGTCTCACTTTATAGCCCTAGATGACCTGGAACTCACTATGAAGACTAGGCTGGCCTGGAACTCACCAAGTGTACCAGGGTTGCCTCAAACTTGCACAGAGATCCTCCTTCCTCAGACTTGAAGTCTTAGTTAGAGCAAATAAGACAACTGAAGGAGATAAAATGGATATGTACTGGAAAGGAAGAATTCAAAGTATCTTTATTTGCAGATGATATGATAGTATACATAACTGACCCAAAAATTCCATCAGGGAACACCTACAGCTCATATATATTTTCAATAAAGTATTTGGATATAAAATTAACTCACAAAAAACTATATACAAATGACAAAAGAACTGAGAAAGAAATCAGGGAAATGACACACTCCACAATAACCTCAAATAATATAAAATATATTTGGGTTACTCTAACCCTGTGAGACTTATGTGATAAAAACTTTGAGACATTGAAGAAGAAATTGAAGAAAATATCAGAATATGGAAAGATCTCCCATGTTCATGGATTCATCAGATTAACACTGTAAAAATGACTACCAAACCAAAAGCAATCTACACACACAAAGGGATAGCTAAAGCAATCTTGAATAACAGAAGAACTGCTGGAGCTATCACCATCCCTGATATCAAGTTGTGCTACAGAGTTATAGTAATAAAAACAGCCTCATATTGGCATAAAACATTGAATGGAAGAGGCAGACATAAATTCACTCACCTGTGGACAACTAATTTTTTTATTAGAATCCAGACATTCACACAGGAACAAAGAAAGTATCTTCAACAATTGGTGCTGTCTAACTGGATGTCAGCATGTAGAAGAATACAAATAGGTCCACATCAATTACCCTGAAAAAAAAAAAAAAACAACCTCAAGTCCAAGTGGATAAAAGACCTCAACATAAATCCAGCCACACTGAAACTCTTAGAAGAGAAACTGGGAAGTAGCCTTGAAACGCACTGGCCCAGGAGACAACTTCCTGAACAGAAAACCAATAGCACAGACACTAAGATCAACAATTAACAAATGGGACCTCATGAAGCTGAACAACCTTTGTAATGCAATGGACAGCATCAACAGGACAAAATGGCAGCCTACAGAATGGGAAAAGATTTTCACCAACTCCACATCTGACAAAGGGCTGATTTCCAAAATATATAAAGAACTCAAGAAACTAGATCTCAATAAACCAAATAATCCAATTAAAAATGGGGTACAGATCTGGATAGAGAATGCTCAATAGAGAAATCTCAAATGGCTGAGTAACACATGTTTAACATCCTTGGTCATCAGGGAAATGCAAATCAAAACTACTCTGAGATATCATCTTACGCTAGTTAGAATGGCTAAGATTAATAAAAACAAGTGATATCTCGTGCTGGCAAGGATGTAGTTAGTGTAAGGGGAATACTTATCCATTACTGGTGGAAGTGAAAACTTGTACATCCACTATGGAAATCAGTGTGGTGGTTCCTCAGAAAGATGGAAATCAATCTACCCCAAGATCCAGATATACCATTCTTGGGCATATACCTAAGAAATTCTTCATCTTACCACAGAGACACTTGCTCAATAATGTTTATTGCTGCTCTATTCATAATAATCAGAAATTGGAAATACTCTAGATGTCCCTCAACAGAAAAATGAATAAAATGTGGTTCATTTACACAATGGAATATCACTCAGCCATTAAAAAAATGAAATGCACAGGTAAATGGAACTAGAAAAAAATCATTCTGAATGAGGTAACCCAGGCTTAGAACAACAAATATAGTATGTATTTGCTTATATGTGGATATGAGCTATTAAGTCTATGATAACCAAGCTATAGTCCATAGAAACACAGAAGTTAGATATAGAGGAAAGGATGGTGAGGGAAGCAAATAGATCTCATTAGGAAAGAAAAATAGAATAGATAATCATGGATGGATGGGGATGGGTATAACATGAAGATCAAGTGGGGAGGGGAAGGAACGAGGAGGACAATGGTGGAAACACAGGGAGGGACAGCTAAAATTAAGAGCCATTTGATGTGTAGCATTAAAACCTATTATAGTAGAAGTTTCCTAAAATATATACACATATTGAAGTTGATCTGAACAAAATTGCCAAATAATGGGGATGATAGAGCCCCTATTGTCCATCTCTTGTCACCAAATGAGACTTTCCGTGCCAGGAGTGGGGAACATCTAA